TGCCCACTTAGAATGCAACAATGCTGAATGTTCTGGAAGGCCATTCTGTATCACCTGGAGACTATGACCAAGTACCACAACTGGTCACACACAGACATTGTCTATGAATTGCCCAGGCCTCATCTATAATGCAATATCTACACCTAAGGCTCACAGAACATAGAACGGGGTAAAGGAGAGGACACTAATGGATCTCTCAGTTCTCATTAATGAAGGTCCCTCATGCAACAGAGGGCCAGGAACACAAAAGGTCACAAAAGGCCAAAATGTAGAGAATAAGAGTTAGCAGAATGCTGGTCCTTGGACAGGACTCCTATATTAACCAAATTGTAAGAGCCAGGGAGGAGGTGCAGGGCCATATAGAAACAGAGTCCTACAAGCTCCTGGGACCCTGCTCATAGGATTCTATGGCAATGGTGTCGGCATACACAAGTCCCATGCAAACTCAGGCAGACAAAAACCCAGCATAGAACTGGGGAACTGAACAGCAGACCCCAATCTTCACTGAGGAAACATTGGCAGCTGATCACTGCTGGGTGAGGAAGGGCTGATCTTCCTGAAGGAAGAGACTCTAGATAGCTGACTAGACCTCAGTGGATGGACTTGCACTGGGGAGCGTCTGGAGACACTGACTTCACACATTGGGCCTTAACAGGGATGACAAAGCATATGGGTTCCAGTTGGGTGGCTATGGGAGTATGCCAGTGAGGATGGGGGTATAAAGATGATTAATATTATTTGAGATATTTTGTATAAAATACACAAAAATTCAATAAACTAGACTCTAAAACACCAGATGAGTATGAGCCATCTGTTCCTGACTGCTTTGCTTATGTCCCATTAGAGAAGATGATTCTTCAGCAAACAGAGGAAAGCATTGGGTGCCCTAAGAGCAGTGCTTATACATTCAGCAAATCTGACAAGCACTTGATGTAGGCCCCTGGGCTGGGGAAACCCCCAAAGCCTATGCCTTTTTTCACTGTGGTCTCAAGGGGTATTCAGAGAGTAGATGAATTCCATGAAGATTGCTATAGGAAGAAAGCCTGGGAAGGTTATGAGAACACGTGGAGCCATGTAGATGGGCTCAGCAGAGAACTGGGGACAGACACAAAGAACTGAGACATGGAAACACAGAACATACTAATTGTAGCACTAAGTCTAGTTGTATTTTTTAAAATATCAAATGCAGCTCTCAATCATCTGGGAGAATTCTGCCCATCCAGCTAAGGCCTACACTGCTTCAAGAAGCACTTACAGTAATGTGGACACCATGACGGTAGTCACACAACTGTGACCAGGGCACTCACAGGGAGAGAAACCAGGGGAAAGATGACATTCTTACAAGTGTCACTCTATAATCACAGCTACTAGAACAGTTCTAGTCCTTCAGATCAGGCAGCCATATTTTTTAGCTCAGGCTGTTTTACAGAGAGAAGCCTTCTGTTTCTGCAAAGACAAATCAAAACCAGATATTTTCTAAAGAAATTGCTCCATTCCAGTCACCGCCCCGTTACTATCGTTCACTTGGGGCTGGCACCATTTCTATTCAAAACTGTAATGGATATGTTTGTTTGTGTCTGCAAACCACACTCCAAAGTTTGCTTATGGTACCTTTGAAACACAGTCTCATCATGTAAATCCCCAGATGTACTGTACGTAGAGGGTCTGCAGTTAGTGTGCAGTGCCCACATCTCTATCTTATGTAGATTGCAGAATGGCTTGCTTTCCACATGGATGAATCAGTGTGGCTGAAGGAGGAGCTCGCTCTGCTTTTTAAAATGCCTCTTCTCCAGCTGTGGACCTGAAGACACAGAGTTGATCGTGTTGACTGATTCCTCTGGACTGTGAGGGGCGACCTGCATCTCTTCCTCACTGTACCATGGCCTGGCTTCTCGGGTCTCAGTGCATGCACCCTTCAAGGAAGAAAGCTCTGTCTCTTCTTGGCTGCACTGGAGCTGCCCTGATAACAAGACTTGTTTAACTTTTCAATGCCCGTGACTACCCATGATTACTTTCCCATTACCTCCCCTAAAAGTTCACTGTTCCTTGGTTCCAGAGTCCTATAGACATGTCTGTTCACCGCAGCCATTTCTGGTGCCCTGGGCACCTGATTGCTGAGCTCATTCATTCATTTCATTCAAGCATCCTCTTTCTACAAATATGAAAGATTTGTTAAAACCAAAAGGCAAAGTTCATGATTTCCCACTGAGTTTTGACAGCTTTTTTGAGTCACAAATTACACAAAATAGCATCTACCCATATAAAATATATAATTCAGTGGTTTTCAGAGTATTTAAAAAGTGATGCGACCATCATCATAATTTTGTTGTAGAGACTCCCATTTCCCTGAAGGAAACGATGAGCTCACTGTAGACACCCCGTCCCCAGCCTCCTCTGTTTCCCTGACGATTTCCTCTTTTAACTTTTCCTCTTGTCTTTTACTTATATCAGTGAACATGAAGGGGACTCCCAGGGCACTGGGGCATGCAGGTGGCTGCTGTGGCTTCCTCCTCAGGAGCCTGGGAGCAGGGAGTGCTGGCCCAGCTCTAGTCCTCTGCTTAGTGAACCCTTTCAGACATTTCAGGAATCCAGTGTCCTCTGTCAGCTGAGAAACATACCCTGTGAAGGATCTGGATAGGAGGGCCTAAGCTATGCTCCCAGGCCCAAGGCAGCGTTGTGAAAATGTGTGACTTTCCTGAAGATTTATCCTAAGAGTCACCAGGAGAGGAAACTGCTGGTCTGGGCATTCATGGCCCCAGGTTGCAGGAGGAGCGATGACATGAGGATCCTGGGGGGGGGGGGGGCCTTTGATCC